CATATTTATATTATGGAAAATGGCCACTTTTACGTATGTTCCGTTCACTTTGTTCCATTGAAACGTTTCAACTACATTGAACATTACACCAACACGAAAACTTTCAAACCTGGATTTATCGTTCCCTACTTCGACTTGCGTCGAATGAATAACGTTAATTTTTATTAAATTAAGAATATCTATCATAAGACTCATTCTTCATTATATGACGAGAGTTATGTAAGTAACTTGTTGTTTAAAAGCAACAATGTCATTTTATATTTAATCCTTCCATCATACTTAATTTCCAAAATTTCCCTTAACCCTTTCGTTTCGAACTAAAATTTATTTTTAACATAAATTAAATATTACTTGTCTATTATCAATCTTTAATATTTGTAGTAAACGTAGACACAAGATAAGTATAAAATTCAAGATAAGTTTAAAATGAAAGATAAAAGAAAATTGTACTACACGGTGATCTTTACTAACTATTATTATCATTAGTGTGTATCTTATTTCTTTCGCTGAAAAGCTTCAATTTAAAAAAAAATATGATTTCAAGAAATATTCCTTGACAATGTGAGCACATCCAAGATATTAACATCAAAACTACCAGTCTGGTAAAAATGCCCAATTTATGGTTTCTAACTCTTTTTATAGGCAATTATTAAACAAATTCATATATTCTTATATGTACCGCAATAAATATGACGGGAAATCTCATCAAACATAATCTGGTCAATTTTACCAGAAATTAGAAATCGGCCAATTTAACTGCTCGGCAGTTCCCCGATGTTAATGCAACTTTCCATTTTTTATATGGACCTATATATCTGTTTCTTCAACGCCGAGAAACTGAGTCGTTTCCTCATGATGAAACCGGTACATTATTTCGAACGGTGTGTAATTCCTATGGTCCAACGAGAGAGCCAGTAATTTGAATACACCTGACCCTCAATTTACGCGAAAATTTGTTCCCCGAGGATTCATTTTAGGTGAATGAAAATCGTGTAAATGGAGACTATCGGTACAAGAGAAAACAAAATATTGGAAAGGAAAGCCGGTATAAGTTTTACAAATACATATTCATTTCATACATCCAAATATAGGAAATAATGATAATGACATTTCAGAAAGCAAAAGTACATTTTATTCGGTGTTACGGAATTCAGATCGTATAAATCAACACTAGAACTACGTATTATTCAAAATAATTGGTTTCGGTTTTCTTGTTTCGCAATGAATGATACCTTAAAAGCATTGAATATTCAAAATGATATCGAAAATAAATACAATAGTTTCACTTGACTAGAATAACGAATACCCAAAAAGAAAACTGAAGATAATCTATTGTCACAATGTTTGCAAGGGTTGCACATCAATCATATTAACACTAAAAGTACCAAACAATTAGGATGACTAATTTCCAATTTCCTATCAAAATTAGAACACTACGTTCCTTGAGATTCGAAGGGTCTTCTAGTCTTGTATCTGTACAAATACAGGAATTCCATTGAAAATCTTTCGCAAACTAAACATTCTGAACTGGGTCAATTTGACTCGTCCGGTAACTTCAGCGTCAAATGCACAGTAATTCCACTGTTAAGATCGAGCGTGAATACTACCGTGTAAACAGTGTTTTTTTCATTTCAATTAACGTCTATTTTGAATATGCCGGGTAGAAAAGTGTCGTGTAAACCGAGGATCAGGTGTATTTCGAAAGACAGGCCAATTTCACGAAAGTTTTACGTCAGTCGGGCGGCGCAGGCGGAAAACTCTGGCCTGGAATCCGTTTCACAATCCTTCAGCGCGGCGCCATCGTCCTGCATCGCCATAAGTTAGAAAGGGCCATTGTGTCCACTTTTCCTCCATAAAGCGTGTCGCGGATCTAATCGCCGACTAATCGCCCACGCAAATACCTGCGTGCTCTCGCGCGGATCGTTAGAGTGCGTTTCCAAGGAGCCCGCTACGGGTGTACCAAGTTATTTACTGTCGGATCAAGGCTGGTAGCGGATTCTACGCTGCATCCCGCGCCCAAAGAATGCCGTAACAAAGCTTTTCATCGTTTATTTTCGCTACCCGACAATAATATCGTTCAGTCCCTCTCGTTGTCCTGTCCTTTACATCCTAATCCGATCATTCACTTATCATAACGACTGTGTCAACACGTATGTCACGCGATAGGCTGCTCCATTAGGACCGTTATTGTTTGTTTTTATAGTCTCGATACGCGACGAGGGTTCTTAAAAAGCGTTTGCTCCGCTATGCACCGGGTAAGCTATAAAATTCTTTTTCCTGCGATCTTTTGAGGAAGTTCAAAGGCGAACTTCGTTTTATAATATTTAATTCGAATCAATTACGTGCCGTCTATTCTGCATGACTTTCTCGGCCTCCTTCGCCGCGCTCGTACGTTTATTATGTCTATTTGTCGCGTATCATAATGCAAACGACAGATCGAGAAAACTTGTTGGGCGAACTCGTAAAATTGTTTATTACATTGTTTATTCCATTTCAGATCCGCTAATTGCCCGGAAAGTATTTAATTAAACGGGATAAGTTATTATATACGCGTTAATGCTGGAAAGTACCGCGATCGAATTATGGCAACGGAGAGAAGAAGTGGACTACATTTTGTAAAAATACTAGTAAAATAATGGATACACTCGTTCGTTCGATAAATGTAACGTGATATTGTCAAGTAAAAATGCCAGTGATCGTAATATATATCATTATAAGGTATTAAAAATTCAATTATTTAATTAATCCGTCCAATAAGAAAGACCGTAATAATTATCGAGGGTTTCCAATATTTCCTTTAACTACCATTCATTTTTCTTATATCTTATTTTGTAAATATGTAAAAATATTTATACTCATATAAAGAATTTTAATGAAATAAAAATAATTGCATCGTGTTATCTCTTCCACTTTTAACTTTATCTCTCTTATCACCTGTATTTCTTTGACCGAATATTTTTCACGAGAAGCATTGTAATGGTATCACAACATTAATTTGTATCGCATATTTATCAAAGATTTTATTTGCTCCTTAAACCGTTGTGCCTTCCTTCCATAAAATGCTACTTAAGAAAGACCAATACATAATTTAAAAAAAGAAGAAATAAAACAATTGAGTAATCCTCATCTCCTACAATTTCTTCTCATGCAGTATTCCACGTAACGTACCACGCATAACCACCCAACGGTATAAACAGTGTTCAACAATCATCGTAAGAACAAGACGCTGAAACTGGCATTCCACGATACAGAATTATAGATTACGAATGTACTTCGCAAATGACCCGGCATTATCGTGTGTAGCAACAAGAAGAAGCGTCCCTTATCAAATCTAAACGAGATTATTCAACGGAAAGAGGCGAAAAAAAAACGAAACGTAATCATCCGGTGATTTCCCTCCGAAACTCTGACATTGCATCGTTCATCTCCTCTCCCATAGCGTCGCGTCTCGATCGGAAATTGCTAGCATTCGTCGATGCATCTATGTAACGACGATAGAAGTGATACTGTAATAACGATGTCTACGAGAGCGTCTATTTATAGTGTTGAGTACAAGTTTAAATTTTTCTAAATGTATCTCTTATTAGAAATTAATCAATCTATCATAGCAATCATGTGTTATATTACATTTTTTATTTTTTAAATTTTCTACTATAATATAGATATTCCTAAACGTATTTATATATGAAAAATGGCCACTTTTACGTATGTTTCACTCACTTTGTTCCATTGAAACGTTTCAACTACGTTGAACATTATACTAACAGTAAAACTTTCAAACACGGATTTATCTTATTATTAACACTAGATTTACTGACATTTACTGTACAGTTTGTTCTATTGTTCTTAGAAAAATTGTTATCCGTTAATTTAAATCTTAGAAATTAGAGGTTTAAGAGTAGACATTAGGATACATATTTGCATTACTGCATCAATAAAAATCGAACCAAACATTTACCAAATAATGCTTATAAAATTCAATATAAGTCAAATTGACTCGTTCCGTAAATCTAGTGTTAATAATCTAAGAGAATCCGAAGGAATTTTCTGTTTATCGGAAGAACACGCTAACTTTGAAGATGAAATATTCATAATGGAAAACAGTTCCTAACTTCGACTTGCGTCCAATGAATAATATTAATTTTTATTAAAGTAAACTAAGAATATTTATCATAAGACTCATTCTTCATTATATGACGAGAGTTACATTTACACAGAGAGATTATTCAATGGAAAAAGACGAAAAAAGAAACGAAACGTAATCACCCGATGATTTCCCTCCGAAACTCTGACATTGCATCGTTTACCTCCTCTCCCATAGCGTCGCGTCTCGATCGGAAATTGCTAAGGAAATCGCACGGCGGTCGTATCATCGGTAAAAACAGGGACGTCTGTACGCATGCGCGTAAATCCTTAGTAGGTCGCGACGACGGCTTGAACGAACGAACTCGTCCCGCGCGGCTTCCACGGCCAGTCATACAAAGGTGACTCGGGACACAAGACGCGCATAAATCGCCACAATCCTCTAAAGGACCACCTTCCACCTCGCCACGTAAATTCCGTCTCACCGGCGCAGTCGTTGAACGAGACCCGACGAAACATCAACTATCTGGCATGTGATCGAACGGGACCCCGAAAACTCGTCCACGAATGTGTCAAAGTGAACGTGTGCCGCGTATCTATACTCTCACGGCCGGGAAATCCCCGGACAGACGGAAGGAAATGGGCTACGATGAAATAGGAAGCGGAAGACACCGAGAATAATCGTTGGCGCTTACCCCGGCAGGATTCGTCACGTACCGTGCATAGGTTCGGTGGAAGTCTGTGCAGTGGTTGGGCTGTCAGTGCGCGGCAAGGATAGTCGGAAGTTTCGCGAGGAAGCCGCTCGCGCGCGATAGTAGGTCGAGTGCGCGTTCGGCGGAGCTCGGCCGCGTTCGGCGAAGTTCGGCACACTCGAATTCG